TGGTCTGCCAGTGGATAGGGCTGTTTCCAACTTTACAGTAGATCTAAGGCTCAGAGGCAACCCAGCCTCCTCTGAACACAAGTACTTTAAGCTTATTTTGGATCTGTGTTTATTAATAACCAGTTATACTTTGTTCCCTAAGCAAACTTCTTGTGTAAGTGCTCATTCTTTTGATTTCTTTTTTTATCTGACAACATTTTTTAAACTAAGAGGAACAGTTATTTTCTGTTCCCCAAAGCCTATTCATATGCTGTGTGGGTGTGAATGGGAAATGTTATTTATTGCACACACACTTAAACACAGAGTTTTGCTTATTTAGATGGAGCTTATGGAGAGATCCTCCTACACCAGGAAACTAAAAGGAAGGCCTCAGGGGTTTTGAAATAGATGCAAAAAATTGCTTCTATTTTGTGGCCCAAATTGTTCTACTGTAATAAATCTTTCTATTGGCAAAATCATTTGTTTAGTATTAACACAGCTAATATATTTTTAAATTTTTAGAGGTAATGGTATGCAATTAGAACAACTTTATTTCAAGTGATCATTTTAAAATTTCTTCATAATACATTTCCCAATGTAACAAATAGTTATAATTAACATGACTTTCATTCTTATTGAAATTTTGCTGATGTGACTCAGTACAAATGTAGTTGGGTGATTTTTACAAGTGTATTTAAAAATAATCTTTCAAGTGATGATAGCTTATTTAATTTCTAAAGAAGGAGAGGTATTTTGATGCACACGAATGGGAGGTTCTCAATCAGGGGCAATTGGCAAACTCTGGAGATAGTTTGGATTGGCACGGTGGGGGAGGGCTTGCTATGGGCAACTAGCCAGGGATGCCTTTCAATGCACTGAACAGTTCCCAGAACAAAGACTGATCTTGCCCTAAATGTCTAAGTGCTGAGATTGAGCACTAAAAACCCTGATATAACTGTGTCCCCTGCACACACACGCATCACTGAGAGGCCAGAGCTCTGTGATTCAGTGGAAGCTGGAACTACATAGTCTGAGGTGGAGGAGCCTGTTATTTAGAGATAAGCCTACTTAGAGTAAAGACGTCCGGGGAGTTAACCGTGGATGGTGGGACACTCAGAAAAACCAACTCTATAAATGAAGATGGTAAATACCCTTCCCTGGCATCTTTCCACAGAGACTGTTTATAGTACCTTTATTTTAAGAATAAGGGTAACCTGCTATGTAGTCTGAAAATTATAAACTTCTAAAAGTCACCTGTTCTCATTAAATGTGCTCCCCTTAGTTTTTCATAGCAAACATGTAATTTCACCTCTTTACCGTGGACCTCCGTGTTCCATTTTAGCTGCTCTCACACTCGACATGGCATCTCCTCCTTCTCTAATCGCCACTTTCCACATCCCAGGGGAGGGATGTTTCAGGCACTTGTGCTATTTTTCTCTACCTTTGTTTCAGGAGGCAAAGATGCTAGAACTGAGGTGAGAGTTCATGGCTGTTGTTCACGTTAGACAGTTTCAATCAACAGTTGGTCTGTGGAACTTATAGGTAGCAGAAGGGGAGTCTGTGTTGGTGTGGGCCTGATACACAGAAAAACCATGTGCAAGAGAAAAATTTGTTCTTAGTCGCTAGTTGACTTGAGTTCAGTCTGGGAAGCCAAGCAGGGGCAGTGCCCCCCTCTGTCTCCTGATAGATTGCTGCCTGTGTCAGAGGTACTGTTCTGGGTGCCCGCTGGATGCCAGGCATGGTGTAGATGTGTGGTGTCATGCCTGCCACAGAGCTAGCCCTTTCTGTGGCTTTACTGGTACTTTCATTATCCTTCCTGCGTTATTTTTTATCACTGCTGATTTGTTCTCACGTGGGGCAGTGATAGTCCACCTCTTGGGACTGGTGAGGGTGCTCCAAATGCCCTTGCTCTGAACAGCACTAAATTCCATCTGGAATTCCTCTAACAAGTGTTATTCTAGGGTAAGATGTGGCATCCAATGAGCTTTCCTGTGTTAAGTTCCAGGTCATAAGGATACAAAAGATGGGCTACTTCATGTGTTTATCTCTGCACTAGAGTTCTTGAGCATTGCCCAGTTTTGCAGACTATGATACTTTTTTAAAGAGTGAAATTAATCATTCTTTTATTAATTATTCTATAATCCAGGGGAGAAAAAACAAAAAACCACCTGTGCCTTCATTGTCCAATGTGCTGCACTGTGCCTGGGCAGGGATTAGGGACCCGTAGGACAGATGCCCCGACTCTCAGTTTTCCTCTGCGTTCCTTCCTGCACCTTCGTGGTTAGGTTCGCTCGCTCCTGCAGAAGCCGTCCTCTGGCCTAGTCATGACTTGCGGTCCCTACACTGTCTCCTGCTCGGCGTGAACATTTTCATCAGTGGGAGCACTGAGTCCATGGGACTCAAAATACGGAGACTGAGAAATCTGACGCACCCTAACATTTATATTTCTGCTTTGTGAAATCTCACCATATATTCATGGGCGTGCTCCTTTAGAAGACGAGGCTTCTTCCTGTCTTTCCTCACCACGCTCTTTACTAGGACTCAATAGCTTCCCGCCTTTGTTTTTCCTGGATCTTCTATCTGATACCTCCTCTCCCTCTTAAATCTACAGTCTCTTTCCCATGTTTAATGATCTCTTTACACCATTTAGTGCTTCTCTGATTTCCCTGAATATCTTTGATTACCTGGCATTCAAGACAGCCATCCATGTTCTGCCCTCTTGCTCTCCTTTCTGGGATCTTGCTGGAGGGGTTCTGTCTCTTGTTTTGCTGAAACTGTCCCCCGAAATTGATCATTGGCTGTTCACTAAAGTTGTTACTCTCATTGGGATGTAGCTAACCAGGCCTTTTTTTTTAAAAAGTGTTATTTTCATATATCAACCTAACTCGGTCTCCATTTTCGCTTGGCGAGCTGTCTTTGATTTCCTTCTCATCTTTGTGTGGTGACCTTTTAAACTGCAGCTTCCAAACAAACATACAGTTTCCTTGAGCTCCTCCTTTTTCCACCTCCTGCCATTCCCTGGTGACTGTAACCACACCCATGATTTTAACCCTTCTAAACACTGTACGTAGTCTTTGACTTCTCTTTTCTGAGCACCCAGCCTGGATTTTCAACAGTCTGTGGCTTTTCCTTAAGCATTATCTTAGCATCTGAAAACCAGCAGGCACAAGACGAAATGATCATATTCTTACCCAAACAAAATTCTTCTGTTGATTATCATACTGAGTAAAATGGCATTACCATCTTCACAGTCTCCTATCTTCTCTGTCTTGAGTCCATCCGTGCCTCTCTGCCTTCTCTTCCCCCAAATTTTACAGATTAGAACAACAATCATTTTATTTTGTTTCACACTGTGGGGGTTAGGAATTTGTATGGGCTCACCTGGGCGATTCCTTTGCTCTCATCCTTACTGGAGTCATTCAGTGGCTTCCCATTGACTCACCTCTCCGGTGCCTTGGCAGGTGCTTGGGAGGCTGGGCTCTGTGGGAAATGTCACTAGAGCTACTCTATGTGGTCTCTCTAGCATGGCAGTCCCAGGGTAGCTGGACTTCTTCTCTGGGGTCTCAGTGCCCAGAGAACATGTACTAAGAGACATGTGGAGACGGCCAGTGGCTTAGGGGCTGGGCTTGGAAACAACACCATCACTTCTGTGGCATTTGACTGAGTCACTCTGTCACAGAGCAAACCCAGGTTCAAGAGCAGGGTCACAGACCAACCTCAGTGAGAGGAATTTCAAAGACTCTGCAGCCCTCTTTAATTTGCCATACTTCCTCTAACCCCTCAACTGGAATGGTTACCTGCATTTTTATTCACATTGACACTATTCGACATCACCGCTTCCTTTGTTTCTCTTCTGAACCATTGCAGACTCCAGATAAACTTCCGCACCTCTGTGCTCCTTTCTGCCCAATTTCCTATGTGCACTGTTGGAAGAATAATTTATTAATATTTTATCTACTGTAATATTAATATACTATGGGAGCTTGTTGCCTAAATATAGAGACCTTAGTACAGTTTGCTCCAAATTTTAACCCAACCTACTCTGTAAGCTGCTTCCCACTCACTGTATCTCCTTTTATATCTCCTGGTGTTTGGGTCAAGTATAGTAAACTGTTCCCAAAACATGTTGCCTACTCCTTCCTCTTGCCTCTCCAGGGCATCATTTCATCCTCTTCCCTTGGCATGGAGTGTACTTCCAGTAACCTCCATCTGTTGAAATCTTCTTTATCCTCCAGTGTTGAACTCAAACGCGAGCCCCTGTGGGGACACACCCTCGGTCTGTCCCAGTAGCAGCAGGACTCTCTACTACCCCCCTCCTCACTTCTTTTTATGGTTTTCTAACAACTTGCATTATAGTTATTTTTACAAGCCTATCTTATTTTAAAGTTTATTCATCTTCTAAATTATTCACAATCTTTCAAGTATCAGCACTCCCAGCATAGTAATTTCATCTCACCCAGTAGGTACTCAATATAGATTTCATTGGATTTATACTTGGTCTCTAATCAGAAACTTTGCAGACAGGTCCTCTATAAATTTCAAAGGACAAATTCACCAAATATGGGCAATTTATAAGAGTTGGGTAGCATATTATTCATCAACTTATTAGTAAATGACAGTGGTTATGGCCTTATTAAATAGGGTCTTTTGAATATTGAAAAGGAAGGGCAGGGTCCTTAGAGTTTCCACAGATAGATCTGTTTGCATGAGGGATGAGGACAGTGTTCCAAGGGAAAATCAATGGATGATCACAGACCTTAAACTGCCTTCTTTAGGAGTGACTATGATGTTTTGGTAGAGCATAAAGTTAACATTTCTTTTTTTACATAAGAAATGAGTATCTCATAAAATTATTGTGATAAAAAGAGGTCTTATTGAGACACACATCTGACATATACGCTAGAACGTCTGCTTGTCTGAGCCCTCGAAACTCTTTTTTTAAAAAAAAGTAGTGACGGAATGACCAAAAGACCAAAACACCTGAACTCTCTATCATCCGGCTGTTTTCCTCTGTGTTCTAGGCACTTTGCCCACATGACGGGAGGACAAGCTTCTGGTTAGAAGACAAGTGCCAGAGTCACAGCCCCCCTGCCCACCATGAAGGGAACCTGTGTCATCGCGTGGCTGTTCTCCAGCCTGGGGTGGTGGAGACTCGCCCAGCCCGAAACAGACGCTTCTCAGTGCCAGAGAGCGGAGCACCCGGTCATTTCCTATAAAGGTAAGGGACAGTCGTGCTCTGAGTGCCAAGGCCCCACATAAATGCACCTTCAGTTCTCAGTGACAAAGGAGAGCTGTGCTTGTTGCCCTTTTGCTCTGCGACTCTTGCTTGAGACCTTGTTTAAAATACGAGCAAAAATGCAAAATCCTTCATCGAGAGAATTTCACGTACAGAAGCAGATCACTGTCTCAAGAAGACTCCAAGACCAGAGTTATCACAGATAAGAAGTCCCAGAGTTGAGACCACCTTTATTTAACAGGTGCTAGAAGCTTCCTAGGCATGTGAACCAGGGGATTAACAATACGACCCACAGAAATAACACAAAAATCAAGGAAAACAAACAAAAAATTCTTTAGTTCAGCATTTTCCAACAACGCCTTAGTCTTACCACAAAATGTGTGATTTTTGTCTCTGGCATTGCATGGCAGACAATTGGTTTAATGTCTCTGGTACCTCCATGAATCCATAGGAGTAATTAATTAGTATGTACATCCACTCATTCTTTCATTAATCAAAATTTATTTAGGGTTCTTTTCACCTTGGACACTCAATATTCAGAAAGAAAAATGTGTTTATTGCTGTCCTCAGCAAACTCACAGTTATATTATCAAGCTAATCATAATTATTCAGTTATCGTGTTTTAATAATCCATCCAATAGTTTTGTTTTGTTAAAATTAAAAAAAAATTTTTTCTTTATTGATTTTAAAGCGAGAGAAAGGGACAAGGAGAGAGAGATAGAAACATCTATGAGAGAGAACATTGATTGGCTGCCTTGTACATACCCCCACTGGGGATTTGGCCCACAATGTGGGCATGTTTCCTGACTGGAAATCAAACTGGTGACCTCTTGGTGCATGGGTCAAGACTTAACCACTGAGCCACACTGGCCAGACTGTTTTGTTACTTTTTAAACTTTGTATTATGAAAAATTTCAATTATATACAAACATAGAAAAAATAGTCTACGGAACACCCAAACCTTGCATTTATTAGTTCATGGCCCACCTTTCTTCTTTTAAATCCCCACTCCTGGTCCACACCTGCCAAATTATTTTTAAGCAAATTTAAGCAATCATATAATTTAGCTATAATATATCAGTTTATGATGATCATATCAAGTATCATATCATGTTGATATGAGATTATAAAATATCATATCAAACAGAACAAAAAAGAATCCAGAAATTATTCCATAATACTGCCAGATATTTGGAAGGTGTTGTGAGATCCCTGATGGTCTCGTGGATGCTTTTGCCTTTTTTTAATAGTTGGATAGAATCAAGATCTAGATGGAGTTTTTACATTGCAATTGGTTGTGTATCTCTTGAGTCCTTTTAATCTTTTTCTGTTTTTTTTGTTGTTGTTGTTGTTGTTGTTGTTGCTGTTGCTGCTGTTGTTGTAGTTGCTCCCTTGCAAATTAATTATTTAAAAAAATGTAATCTCTTTGTAGCATAGAATTTCCCATTGTCTGGGTTTTGCCAAGCCCATCCCATTGGTGTTGTTCGAATGTCCTGAATATGTCTGTAAATATGCAGTAATACCAAGAGGCTGCTTAGGCTCAAGTTCAAATCTTTGTGTCTCCGTTCTGTCATGGACGATGCTGTGTACTTCTATCGAGGCAGATAACAACTAGGTGTGAGCTTGGCAGTCGCTGATGATCACTGCCTGCATTTACCGGTTCATTCATGGGTGCAAACCTGGGGTTTCCTCATTTTATTTTTTCTTCATTTAGTGGCAAGAGTATTTCCATATAAAATAACTTTTCTTCACCATCTTATTTGACTATCCTGAAGGTACAGCTTACATAGAACAGCTGAATCTGTTTTCTAAAAGACTAGTTTGTTTTCTAGCATTATTTTTCTTATTTAGATTCTTATTTTAATCCTCACCCCAGGATATGTTTTTTAATTGATTTTAGAGAGTAACGGAGAGGGAGAGGGAGAAAGAGAGAGAAACATGAATCAGTTGCCTCCTGTATATGCTCTGAACACAGATTGAACCCGCAACTTGAGTATGTGCCCTGATTGGGAATCGAACCCCCGACCCTTTGGACGCTCCAACCAACTGAGTCACACCGTCCAGTGCTGATTGTTAGAATTATTACTAATATGTGGACTTCAATGTTTGATATATTTTAAGCAATTACAGCTTCTGTTCTTATAGATGGTGAAATCTTCACATTTCCAGCCTCAGGGAACCTCTTGAATTTGGCTCCTGATTTCTTTGGACACAACCCATGTTGCCTCTGATGGCTTGCTCAGTCTCTGTGACCACACAATGTTCCTGGTTTGTCTTAGGCATTTCTTTCCATAGATCTGACAACCAGCAATTTTTGGCTGATTTTATGTGGAGGTTCTCAGTTATGTGTTTTAAGCTGAGGCAAATATTTAAAAAAATGCTCCATATGTTCTAGATAGTTCCAGCTCAGATCCAGGACGGTCAGATTTTCTGAACCTTTCCATCTCGTGTCTGCATCTTTCTCTCCTATGCACAAAATCCTGAGTCTGTGCAGGCCATGTAACTATTCCTTTGCCTTTTCCTGAGATAGACACTTAGTTGTTTCAGAATGACAGTTTCATGCAATTCAAGTCACTTTTGACTACTGGAAACCCCGTGTGATGATTTTCTGCCCCCCTGCCCACCCAGGTGTCAGGGTATAAATTTCATTGGAAAATTAAAGTAGAATTACTGCCTTGAAATAACTTCAAATAATTTCCTCTTGTATGATTACACAACTCAAAACCCAGTGAGTTTTGTTAAATTTCATTTTTAATTTTTAGAGATTTAAAAAAAAATTTATTGCATTATTACATACTGCTTCAAAGTCAAATTCATGAAACAAGGACGTTAAGGAAACTAGCTTTCCTCCCTCATAACCGTTTACTCTCTCTGCTTTTGGCCAACTTTTTACTTATAGTTTACAATCCATGCTTCTTTTAAAATGCAAACACACATGTATACACACACACACAGACATTCTTACACTCGTTTTTTTAGATAAAAGGTTGCATACTTACAAACTTTCCTTTATGTAACTTTTTTTTAGCATAACAATATATCCTGGAGGCCACTCCCGAGTAGTATAGATTTATGTCATTTCTTTTTATAGCCTCATAGCTCCCACATAGTTCAGTTATTTTCTGTCATTTGTGGTCACAGATACCGTTACAATGAGTAGCACCTCCTACAAACAACTTTTAATATTTTTGCAAGAGTACCATTGAGAGACATTACTAAAATTGGGATTGCTGGGTCAAAAGGTAAATGCCTATGTGGTTTGCTAGATGATTCTCAATTTCTGTTCATGAAGATTGTGCCATTTTGTATTCTCATTGTTCTGGATATGAGGATCTGTTTACAACCAGTCTTTCCAGCAGAGTATATTGTTAAGCTTTTGGGATTTGGATTAATCTCACAGTTCATAAATGGCATCTCAGCTTATTTTAATTTGCATGGTTTTAATTAGGAGTGAATGTACAACAAACATTTAATTGGTGCCTATTGTGAACCAGGGTCTGTGGTAAATATTGAGGAGATAGAGGCAAAAAACACAGTCTCTGTTAAGATTTTAGAATATCTCTGGGAATATAAACCTCAATGACCATTGCAGTACATTTCATTAAGGGTCCTAATGGGTGTCATAGCTGGCGGCTGTGGGAACCTCGGAGAGGGGCATTTGAACCAGACAGCCCTGCTGAAGGAGTGCCAGTAAGGATTAGGCATTGCCAGAGCTGAGTCCCAGGTGATGATGAGAAGGTGTCTGACTCTCACGAAGCGGGAGGTGTCCCAGGGAGAGACCAAATGTACTGGTCCTGAAGTCAGGGAGGGGAGCATAGTGTCATGTATAGTGAGTCATGAAATCTTAGTCTAAGTTTCAGAGTTTCAGAGACAACGTAGAGGGAGATGAGGCTGAAGTGGTTAATGTGGTTTCACAGTGCAAGGTGTTGAAAGGCATCTCGCTTGGAGGACAGTGGGCAGCGCATTCTGAGGTGCTGCTCTGACCGGAGGGAGCAGTCGTGCGGAGCTAGCCTGAGGAGTTGCCAGCAGACATGGGAAGAAGCAGATGGATTCTAGGAATCTGAAGGGGTTTTTGTTGATGATTTAATGGATATAGGAGGTAGAAGGAGGCACCGAGTATGATCTCCAAGTTATTGGCTGTTTATTCCATACGGAAGAAAGAAGGGGAAGCATAGTTGAGGGATGTGACAATTTTAGTTGCTGAACACTGAGTTTCTCTGCCATCAGATGAACTTATCTGGTTGAGAACAAGGCATCATGGGAACCAAGAACGGAGGAGTTTTCGAGAGGGAGGTGTATTCAGTGATACAGAGAGCTTAAGGAGGATGTGGGTCCGAAGGTACAGTGACAAACTCACCTGGTGTGCCTGGGAATTTTCTGTTTTAGCACTGAAAGTCCCATGTTCTGAGAAAACTGGGACAGAGGGTCATCTCCTGGAAATTCTGCAAGCAGTGGTGTATTAGTTTCCTAGACGTGCTGAACCAAAATACCAGACTGGGTGGCTTCAAACAACAGAGATATCTTCTTTTACGGTTCTGAAGGCTAGACGTCCAGAATCAGGTGCTGGCAGGGTCATGTTCTCTTTGAAGGCTCCAGGGAAGAAACCCTGGTTTCCTCTTTGTAACTTCTGGTGGTGTTAGCAATCATTGACCTTCCTTGGCATGTAGACTCTGAGTCTGTAGTCACATGGTCTTCTCTCTGTGTGTCTGCATCTTTTTGTCCTCTCTTCTTGTGATGACACCAGTCGTACTGCATTTAGGGCTGACCCTAACCCAGCGTGTTTTCATCTTAACTAATTGCCTCTGCAGAGGTCCTATTTGTACATAACATTATGTTCACAGCTGTCCAGGTTAGGATTTCAGTATCTCTTTTGGGAGGACACAGTTCAACCCATAACAAAGAGAATTTATCAGAGTAGGTTGACGTCAGTGCGGGAGGAGAAACTAGATGGTGATGAGTGGAGGGATAAATGTGTGATGAAG